CACTCTGTCCGTATAAATAATCGTAAAAGTCTATCTGAGAAAAATGTAAAGGTGATCACGAATTCAACTAAGTGTTTGAGTGAGAAAATTCTTTATTAAAAGTAGTTTAAAGAAAGTGCATAGTGTTCTTATTGTTTAACCGCCTGAAGTCATCCTCGCTGGATTCCGAATCCCGTACCGTGTAAAACGGTATAACAGGGGGGTGAGAGGATAAAGAGAAGGGCAGGGGAGGAGAGAGAGATGGGTGAAAGAGGGAAATAGGCAGAGGACTAAGGGAAGAAGAGGGAGGAAAGGGGAAAAGAGTTAGGGAAGAGAAAGAGGTGAGGATAGCATTTTGGAATGTAGCAGGGTTAAGAAATAAGGATAGGGATTTTTGGGCTAGTTCGAAAGGATGGGATGCAATGGTGTTAATGGAAACGTGGGTGGAGGAGAAGGGGTGGACATATATAAGAGATGGAGGTACTCAATTATGGTGAATGGAGGCCGCAAAAAAGAGGAATAAAAAAGGAATGGCAATGAGGGGAATGGTGATGAGCATTAAAAGGGACTTGTATGAGGAGAAAGGGGGGAAGAAAGAAGTAGAGAGGATGATGATGGGAATGATGAAAGTAGATAGTAATAGGGTAAGGATGGTGGGAGTGTATGTTAGTATGGATATGGAGAGAGAAGGAGAAGGGCAATTAGGGGAGTATGGGATGAGGAAGGTAGGGAAATATTTAGAGAGATTTGGGGAAAATGGAATGGAAGGAAGGGATGGGAAGGAGAGTATGAAGGAAATGGAAGAGAGAATAAGAGAGGTATTGCGAAGAATAGAAAAGGAGAGGAGTAAAGAAAGGAAGGGAAGGGGATAGAGAATGTAGAGAATAGAAGGCGAGAGTGAGAAGGAAATTAAGGGAATGGATGAAAGGCAAAGGGAAGAAGAGATGAAGGAGAGAAAGAAGTACGGGAAAGAAAAAAGGGACTATAAGGAGAATGTGAAGTCAAGGAAAATTAGGAGAATGAGAGAGTGGGAGGAGTATTTCAAAGAATTGTTGGGAGAGGTGGAAGGGAGAGTGGTAAGGGGAAAAAGTGAGGAAGGGAGGCAGGAGATGGAAATGGAGCTAAGTAGGGAGGAAATAAGAAAGATGACTAGGAATCTAAAGGATGGAAAGGCAATGGGGGTAGACGGGATTCAGAACGAGATATAGAAGTAGGGGAGAAGGTACGGAGGAATAGGTATGGAAGGTATGTAACGAGGTATGTGGAAAGGGAAAGGATGGACAGAGGAGTGGAATGAGGGAGTGATAATGCCGGTAAGGAAAAAAGGACAGGGAGAGGAGGTAAGAGACTATAGGGAGTGTCGATAATGCCGACTCTGTATATGGTGTATACGGCGGCGTAGTCGGAAAGATTGAGGGAGGAAGTGGAAGAGAAGGGATTAGTTCCACCGAATTAAACAGGCTTCAGGAAGGAGATGCGGACGATGGATAACGTTTATGAATTGAATTTTTTAATTAATAAACAGGTAAGGAAGAAAGGGGGAAAATTGATTGCTTTATTTGTAGATTTAGAGGCGGCGTTTGATTTGGTGGATAGGGGAGTGTTGGTAGAGGCATTGAGGCAGAGGGGGATAAAAGGAAGGGCTGGTGGAAAAAGTGAGGGAGAATTTGAGAGAAACGAAGAGTAGAGTGAGAGCAAAAAGGGGGAGGGGGATTATTAGAAAGTTTTTGGACGGAGAGGGGGGTAAGGCGAGGGTGCCCGCTGAGCCCCTTGTTGTTTAACGTATTGACGGCAGACTTAGAAGAAGAGATGGGAAAGGTTAAATTCCGGGGGAGGGGGGTGAAATTAGTAGATAAGAAGGTGTATAGCTTGGCTTACGCGGACGATATAGTGTTACTGGCGAAGGATGAAGGGGGCATGAATAGCATGATAGAGAGGTTAGAGAGAGAGGTAAAGAGGGCAAATTTTTGAAAACAGGGATAGAGTTAGGAAGCTAGCAAAGAGGGAAGTTGGAGGGAGGGATTAAGTTTGAAGAGCTGCAGAAAAGGGATAGGGAAATGCAGAAGGAAGAAAAATGGGAAAAAATAAGGATAGCAAGGTATACGTGATATGGATGGTCAAAGGGGGAGGGGGTACCGGTATATTTAGGAAAAGGATGGGGGGAGATGTAGAAGGGTAACGAGGTGTAGATTAAAGCATGAGATTAGAGAAGGGTGATATTGGGAAGGAGAAGAGGAAAAGAAGGGGTGGCACCCAGTTGGACACGGCTCAATTGGACACGAGCCATTCACAACGCTTGAGACTACAAAGCTCCTAAGCACCAGTCGCTGTGATTGGTGGTGTCTAATCGAGCCGTGGTCAATCGGGATCACCCCGGGTATGAAGGGAGTTGGCAGGAGGTAATAGATCGAATCTCAGGGGAAGAAGGAGATGGTGAAGGTAGAATGAGGGAGGTGGGGGAGGAAAGAAGAAAAGTGGAGGAGAGAGTGGGAGTGAGAGAGAGAATGAGAGCGAGAAGGGGGGGACTCTGCAGGGAAGAGATAAAATTGTAGTTTTAAATAGAGAAGATAAAACCATAAAATTGTTGTGGGGTATAAAGCGGAAGCGAAGGTCAAAGAGAGGGAGAAAAAGAGAGTCGGTAGTGTAGATTAAGTTAAGTTATTGTTAATTAGGTTACCTTAATTTAAGATGCGTGTTTTGTATAAGTAAATGTATAATGTAATCCTAAGGGGATATAATGAAGGTATCTATCTGTCTTATAAGGTTGCAAATTTTGTTTCATCTGAGAATGGCTCAATCCAAGAGCCGAAACACGTAATGACATTTATAGATTCTTTTATGTATGTATTTTAATATTACTAATAATATTTGTAAGTTCTCTTTTTTAGAAAATTCGAATCTTATTTCTCTGTATATTTTTATATTATTATTGAATTTGTAAGAGTCCTTGACTTATTTATATTATCATTTAAACAATTAACAAAAATTCGAATGCAAATAATAACACAATTGAAAAAAAACTCTTACGAAATAGTACAGTATATATTATTTTTTGGCCTCTTCCCATTTGTTGTAAGAAATACAAAACAACAGGTGATTGTTGTTGGAAAAGTGATAATTTGCATCAAGCCTATTCACGATAGATGACATGTGGATTCATAATAAATTTTGTTAGATGGCGTTATCTTACGACAGTCAACTTTAAGAGATTGAATGCTCGACCCTTTTTTCTAGTGGTGCAAACGAATGTGTGTAAGCCGAGTGTGGTCGTAAGATCTTGCAACGACAATATAAAATCGTTACAGATAAGTTTAGAATAAGCTGTGTAAAAGATTATTCTATATGAATGATTTATTTAATTATTTTTAATTATTTATACGATACGTACTAATAGATTTGAATAATTTAAATGTTTGATGTTGCATTCAGAGCAATACATTAAGTTCTGTTAAGTTCTTGTTAACAATTACCTTTCTCTTGTATTGATTAAATTCAAATATAATTGCTTCAATCACATCGAATCAATATTTCTTTTACGAGGGGCACTACTTATATTTTGAGCCTTGGCAACACTGAGTGTTGTCAGGTGCCATTAGACGTTTCCACTAGAAAGTTTGACATTTTTTACCATAACTTTCTTCAGAACGTTTTGTTATTTGAGCGCGATTTGTATTGTTTACAGTCACTTGAAAATTGTGTCTCAGCGAAAAAATGGAATTAACTCGTGAAAATTTTCATGCCATGATTTATTACGACTTTCGACGTGGATTATCAAGACAGGAGTGCATCGATCAACTTACTTCCACTTTTGGC